ACAGAAGCTGTTGTTCTCCTGGAAGAAGGTCAGAATCTGTTTTGGGGCATGGTTTTTATCAGTTATGACCTATAAAACCCTATACTGTTCAGGTTGAGGCTGTTTGGCAGACCAAATTTCCCTGTATAAGCCTACCCAGACCCCGAGACGCTCACGGGAGGCCATTTTTCAATCCTATTACCTTCACAAGTGCAGTTGGTGGGCATGTAAGACAAGGCCTTCTCAGTGGCTGCCCCCTGGATCTCAAACTCTCTCCCAGGGGAGGTTGGAATGGCCCCTTCATCAATCATTGGTTTACATCTGACCTATGGAGAAGAACCTCTGTCCCTTAAATCCCTGCTGCTTTTTCCTGTCAGGTCCTGCCATAGCCATGTTGGTCAGTAGTCCCATGTTGGCCAATAGCTCCTGGGATTCTGGGAGCTGAAGTCCCTCGGCCCTTGCCTACCCCTGTGATAGATCATCAAGATGAAATATATGGATTGGCCAGCCCTGGTAGAAATACCAGGACCCTGGCCATGTGATTGGCCAAGGATGGTAGAAATATAAGGAGCCCATCCATCCTTCCATCAATCTGCATTACCTCTTTCCCATTTCTCATTCTGCCCTCCATTGTAAGCGTTCCCTTTTTTTCTCTCCAGGATGAAAGCTCTTCTGAGTCAAAACTGCCCTCTTTCCGCCCATACCTTTTGGCTCTCCTTACGCACCAGTCCAGCTGGACTACGCTTCACCACTGTATTAAAATTCTGCTCTGCAAAAACCGAGAGCACCAGTAAGTTTTCCCAGATATGAGCCGTACCTAAATTGGCCTGTCTTCAAAGCAGGCTTGCATCAATATAGTATTTGCATGTTTCAGGGAGTGAGACAGGCAGGCATGAGAAAAAGAACTTGTAATGGTGAGATCCTCATTTAGAGTCTGCTTTCCTGTCACCTGCCATTTATTTGTTTAAAACATTTATATGTTGTTGTTGTGTGCTTTCAAGTTGTTTCCGACATATAACAACTCTGTCATGGGATTTTCTTGGCCAGATTTGTTCTGGCTTTGCCATTGCCTTCCTCTGAGAATGAGAAAGTGTGACCTGCCCAAGGTCACCCACTGTTTTTTTTTTTAAATGTTTGTTTATTCAAAAGATTTATACACCCCACTCTTTACCTAAAATGGTTCTTGCTGTTTACAACAAGGACAGGAATTATGGAGCCCTCAGATATGGTGCAGCTGCAAGACCCACCACACTTACTCAGCACAGCCAGTGGTAGAAGTTGCAATTTAACAACACTGAAAGTACCACACAAATCCTACTCCTAGCTTACACATAGTAAGTCTGTGCCTGACAATCTATACTGAAGCCATGACAACTGTAAAAGAATCTTTTCCATGAACAATAAGGGATGGTGAGGGAGGGAAGACACCTTTCAGCAATTTTTCCTGCCTGATTCCAAGAAGCAAGATAGACTATTAAAAGGCAGTGGAGAAAGGAGTTCAGAGAATTTGATCATTGTCAGATGAAGGCAAGTCTTGACAGTTATTTTTTTTTCAACAAGTGATAAATGGAGCCCCTGGAGTAGCTGAAGGAGATCAGGAATCAGGAATCCCTTCCTTGGTCCCTTTGGAATTGTTACTCTGGCTTTCTTTGTCTTATGACAGATTTGACCCAACAGCCTCCTTGGATTTCCTGTGGGCCTGCATTCACATTCCTCGGATTTGGCAAGGAAGGGACCAAAGGATACCGCAGGTAATGCATTTCTCTTCCACTGTGGATTTCAAGGGAGGAGGCAGGTGTAAAGGAATGTGTCTGATCACTGGATGATTGGCTCCTCTAAGGGAAGCCTGCAGGTAACAAGCTCCAGACCCCTTCTGTGTTATTTTTCTCCTCATTCCTCCTTCTGCTAACAGGTGCAAAAATGGAAACAGCTTCCAACTGGGTGTATATCTGGAGCTAGCCACAGACAAAAGCCCAGTAGGGACAGGAGGCTCCCACGAGCAAGTCTAGGTCCCTTTCACACTGCATAGTCATAGCACTTGAATACCACTAACTGCCATGGTTGCATCCTGTGGAATCCCGGGTTTTGTTGTTCAGGAAGGGGCAGTTAAAAGTCTCAGCCAGAGAACTCTGTGACTTACAAATGAATGGAGCCATGATGGTGAAAGTATGAAATCACTAACATTTTGGAATGTGAAAAGGACCTTACTTAATCTAGTACCAGTGGAGTTCCAGCAGATTGGAGAGCTCTAGGTAGTCAGTTTGCTCTATGCTCTCTGAAGTCTTTTCTTACAGAGAACCTTGGTCTTTCCAGGGGAGTAGCTGAGTGTTGTGTGCAAGGCATCCCCCAAATTCAGTACAGGAGACCTAACATTGTGTCATAGAGGCGAAGGATCTTTGGAGGTCAATTAGTTCTTGCCCTTTTCCCCAGCTATCTGTAGGAGGTCCAGAGGTAGAGTGTGTCACTAGAATCATAGGTAGATAGTCTCTCTCTTCCCACACCTCTTAGTGTCTAGAGGGGGAGCAGTACAGTTCTTCATCCTGGTTCTGCCCAACTTTGAATCACATTGCAGAAACGGCGAGAGGAGTTTGTCCTCAGGCTGAAGGCTCCAGAACTGATCAGCTTGGTGGAGCTGATCCTGACTGAGTCGGAGACTCGAAGCAAGAATCCTGAAGAAGCCTCCTGCTCTGTCACCCAGTCCCGGCTGCCACTCTTGCTCAGTTGCTGCCACGGAGATGTAGAGAGTATTAAAAAAGTCACTGAATACTTGACAGCCTGCATCCAGCAGCATGGGAGCAGGTGAGAGTCTCTCAAAAGAAACTTAGCCATCCCCTTCCATTTTTGTCTCTAAAAACAAAACCTTGTTTTTTAAAAAAAGTTCTACCAGGCCATCATGCCATCTGTCTCTTGTGCCTCATCATCTGATTTCAGATGCCTGCAGAGCAGAAAGAACTTGGTTTGCATCACCATCCCACTCTGAAAATGCCCAGTTCAGTAACAATCCATGTGAAAAGGATCTGGAATCTTAGTAAATCATAAGTGAAACATGAGTCTACAGTGTGATGCAATGGCCAGCCAAAAAAAAAAAACCAGGACCTTTCATCTACTTAGTTCAATTTAAGTGCTTTCATGAATATTCAGTGCCACCAGTAATGGTCACCAGACAGACCTTAATTTTCTTTTTTAATTAAAAATTTATTCCTGGTTCCAGGAAGCAAGATAGAGTGTTAGAAGGCAGTGGAGAAAGGAATTCAGAGAATCTGATCTTTGTCAGATGAAGGCAGTCTTGACAGTTATTTTTTTGGTCAACGAGTGATAAATAGAGCTGCAGTTGGTTGCCTAAAAATAACATTTGGAACAAGAAAAATCCCTAAATATACTTGGAAAAATAAACTGTTTGTTTACATTTGCTTTGCACATTTTCGCATATATTTCTCCGGTATCAGTGAGTTATATGTTCAAATGAAGGGGGTGACAATTATGACAAAATCATTCCATTTGACACTGCACATACCATACCTCATGAAAAATAATGTACCAGCTAGCCATGAAAGCCCTTCTCCAGGTTGTTGGAACACCTGTCTCACACATCCTCCGTCCTTTCAGTTCCAGCTCTATGGGAAAACATTGCCAAGATCTCCTCCTGCAAATCTACCTGCAGCTGCCAGAGCTCTTGGTCCCAGTGCCAGAAACCCTGTTATCCAGTGAAGGGGCCACGGACAGCAGTACTTGCAAAGTAAGAGTTCAGAGGGAAAAGAAATGCAATAGCACAGTTGGTACACACACTCTGGAAGTGTGTTGGGTCCTGCTATTCCTGATCTGTAGATCAAATCACCTGCTGAGGGACAGGTGACCCAGAGGTACAAAAGTAGAAATTGGCATTCTGGTGTGCACCCCCCCTCCCCCATTTTGGCTACTGCCCTAAAAGGGTCTACTGTCTATCTTCTTGTCCTTGTGCCCCTGCATCCTCCAATTGGACACACACCTCTACCACAAAATCTTTTCTTCCATGAAAAAATGAGAATATAACATGCATGCTGAGTTTACTGGAATCATAATTTCTATATTCCTTGTTCTTTCCTCTTCCTCCTACAACAAGTACTGGAAGGTTGGAGGAGTTGTACTTCAGTGTCTTTGATAAGCTGGCAGCCCAGAACTCCAGCCGCCTTCCCTCACATGCTTTTGTGGTTCTTTCCACAGCTCGACAGCCTGGTCCACCGATTCATCACTCTCCTCGCCGACGCCAGTGATTCAAAGAGTAGCGAGAACCGGCTATGGGATGCCAACATGGCATGTCGGAAGTTAGCCGTGGCTCATCCCATCCTCCTGCTCAGGTTTCTGTTCAGCTTGTTTCACTTGGGAACCTTTCAGAAATGAGTGGGTGGATGGACAGAGAAGGACAATCCAGGATTCTCATAGAAAAGTAGAGTACAAATCTTTATCCTTTCCTTATACTCCTGGTGTCACCACTTTGGTACAACTAGTTCTCCTGTATTTACCTGTTAGAAGTGTCCCAAGATTAACCACTGTCCTCTCCTTCTTTCTTCATTCCCAGGCACTTACCAATGATGGCTGCCCTGCTGCATGGCAGGGTCCACCTCAACTTCCAGGAGTTCCGCCAGCAGAACCATCTCACCTTCTTCATCCACGTCTTGGGCATCCTGGAACTGCTTCAGCCGCAGGTCTTCCAGAGCGAGCACCAGGGGGCACTGTGGGATTGTCTCCTCTCCTTTATTGGCTTACTTCAGGTAAGAGACCCTTTTCATATAGAGAACAAAATTGGGGGATCTAAAAAACTAGATGTCCTGGAATCTCTGGGGTTCTGTGGCTTTACCTGTAAATATAGGACAGCCGAGAATATGGAAAAATTGTTCTTCTTGTTGTGTGTCTTCAAGTCATTTCTGACTTATGGTGATCCTAAGGCCATGGAGTTTTCTTGGCAAGTTTTATTCAGCAGGGTTTTTGCTATTGCCATCCACTGAGGCTATGCAACTTACCTAGGATCACCTAGTGGGTTTATATGGCCAAACTGGGATTCAAACCCATGTCTTCAGAGTCATAGTCCAAGCTCAAACCACTATACTATGCAGGGTCTCCAGTTAATTCTTTGGAAAACAATTTCTGAATTCCTTCAGAAAATATGGGAGTTGTTAATGGAAGAAGCAGCTTCCCCATCCTCTTAACCAGCTTTCCTCCAACCCAGAAGCTTATTAGAGATGATGGACACTGAAGTCCAACACATCTGAAGGATTCTTCAACCTAGGATCCTTGGACTACAGTGCTCATAATCCCTAATAAGCTTTTGGGTTCTGGGAGATGAGGGCACCATGTTTGCTTCTGAAATTCCACCTGCATTTGCATTTGCTTGGTTTTAGAGCTACCGGAAATCTTCTCGCCACCTTGCTGCCTTCATTTCCAAGTTTGTCCAGTTCATCCACAAGTACATCACCTCTAATGCCCAGGCAGCTGTCTCATTCTTGCAAAAGCATTCAGATCCTCTCCAGTAAGTTTGTTCTCTTTTTCTTCTTCTGATCCCACATGGAGAAAAGGGGGTGAGGCACAGATCTGACTATTTAGAAGGGCATTGAACAGGAATTCAGGGAACAGATAACACGTGGTTCCCATGTTCAGTAGCTTTATTGGCTACTGGTCTATTTCCAGGCACAATTCAAAGGTTATGACCTTTAAGGCCCTACATGGCTTGGAGCAAGGCTGTCTGAAAGACTTTATTTCCCTCTATGAGCTTGCCTAACTTTTAAAATCTTCAGGGAAGTGTTTTTAATAGAATTGTTTATTTTTCAGTTGTTAAACTTTTATATCAAATTGGTTTTAGCTATACTTGTTTTTAATTTCTTGTAAGCTGCCTTTCCTGTACGCAGAAAAAGTGGGTTGTAAATTAAATAAATAAACAAGCCTGAAATTGTTCTTCCTCTTCTCCACAGTGACCTTTCATCAGACAACAGCGACTTGGCAATGCTGAAGTCTCTCCTGGCTGGTCTGAGCGTGCCCAGCAAAAATGGCATGTCAGACAGAGGGGCCGAGGATGACAAGGAGGGTGAGTTGGGAGTTTTACCCCCAAAATGTAAAGAAGAAGAAATAGTTTTGCCTCTTCCCATTGCCCTTTCTCACTGCCCTTTGGACTGATTGTTGAATAACACGGGACTTTATACTAGCTTTCTCTAGTGACACCATCTCTGGGATTGTGTTTTTGGAAGTGGTTTGGGGCTGCATATTGCATATTCATACACAAAACAAATCTATATTTTTTGCCAAAGAAGAAAGACTAACTCCTATAATCAGGATGTTTTTGGTCACCTGGAGCCAACAGGAAACATTAGTTCCGCCTTTGATTTTGAGTGTGCTTCTCCCCCCCCCCCAAAAAAAATTAATGCTCTGGACCAACGTTTCCCAACTTGGCGTCCTTCAGATGTGTTGAACTACAATCCCCACAATCACATAACAAACTGAATGGGGTTGGTTGGAGAAAGGGACCTGTTTGCATTTTCCCACAGAAATTCCATGGGTTGGTGAGAGAGAAGGAATCCATGCAATATAGGTTTCTTTCTATCACTGCTCAGAGACAGACAGGAAGCCACATATACCAGACTAAACTTGATTGATGCTCAGGATGCTTCTGCTTAGCCTATTCATCCATCCTGCTCAATGGTCATTGGATTCCGGCTGCCCTAATAGCTGCAGTACCACCCTCTGGCCATCTGTTGTGGCGGCAGTATAGAGCAGGACAACAACGACCTGCTTTGGCAAATTACTGCCATAGTGGAGTTGGGAGCAAAGAGCTCTTAGTCTCTGCTTGAAGACAAGAAGTCCTAAGGAAAACCTCTCTTTCTTTCTGGTCTTCAGATGAGACAGGAGCTGGTTCTTTGCCTCTCGTCAACATCTCCCTTTTTACTCCGCTAACCCCAGCTGAAATGTCCCCATATATGAAGAGGCTCTCCAGAGGTCAGACTGTAGAAGGTAAGTATAGATGGCTGCCGTGCCACTTCTTCCATGGGACCTCCACTTCCCCTACCCCAAGATCCCATGGGGAGGAAAGTTTCTCCTTCAGGTCTTTATAGACACCGCAGCTAGATAATGCAAGCAAAACAATATGGAGATGTTTGTTATTTTTCAGCTACAGAGTGGTCTGAGATTTCTTTAAGGGTTTGTCAACTTCTTTTTTCTTCTGTTCCTTTTTTTTGAGAGGAATCAGTTCAGGGAGAAATCAAATTAGTCACTCCAATCTCATTATTATCTCCCATTCCCTAGACATCTTGGAAGTGCTGAGCGACATTGACGAGATGTCCCGACGGAGGCCGGAAATCCTTGCATTCTTTTCTGTAAGTCAGGCAGCCTCTTCTTTGCTCCCATTGTCCATCAGCTGCTTTGCTTATTCCAGGGAGGAGTTGAAAAGGGAGGCAGGATCTTGGAGGTCTACTGAAGGGTGGGGAAAGAGGGACAGAATCTCCCAATGCCAAAACACCCCTCTTCTCTTCGGAAGGGATATGCAATCCTTTGCCCTTCCTCTTCCTATCTTTATCTAGGTGGAAAATTGTGACATGTGATCCTCTCCTGTACCTAGATGGCTATTGGACTCTATTGGTTTTCCCTTCAGACACCATTGCTATTTTTCTCTCCACTCAGACTCACCTGCAAAAGCTGATGAGTTCCCCCGAGGAAACCTGCCGGAATCTGGCCTTCAGTCTCGCTCTGCGCTCTATCCAGAACAACCCCAGGTGGGAGAGGCTGAAATTTTGGGGTGGGAGAGGCAGGGGAGTTCAACCAAGGCCCTCTGATATGGCCTGGTGTGGTTGGACTGCATCCTCCATCCTCACCATGGCTGGCTAGGGCTGATGGAAGCTGCAGCCTGACAACAGTGGGAGGACTATGTGTTTCCCCAGGCCTGCTCTAGGCACTGAGGATTCCTAGTCCCTGACTGAAAAATAGGAAGCTACAGGAGGATTCACGTCCTGCTTTTTGGATTCCCTGTGGGGTGTCCTGATGAGGAAATGGGTGGATCCGATCCTACCCAACCCTTTTTACAACCTCAGCTCATTGGGATGCTTTCTATTTTCCCTCTCTACTTTCGGTTTTGAAAACGTCCAGCATTGCAGCCGATTTCCTCCCCACGTTCATGTACTGCCTCGGCAGCCGTGATTTTGAGGTCGTTCAAACAGCCCTGAGGAACCTGCCTGAATATACCCTTCTGTGCCAAGGTAAGGAGGAACCACCTTTCCAAAGCTAATAGAACTACAGAGCCAGAAGGGACCCAGTATTGGGTCCATCTAGCCTAACTCACTGCCAATGCAGGAAACGTGATCCCTGCCTTGCAGGATTGTTGTGAGGCAATCTCCTCCCAACCTGAGCTCCTCCAGAGATAGTGGCCCATGATCCCTGAGGAGTTTTAGTCCAACCCATCTAGAAACCACCAGGCTGGGGAAGGGTGTTGTAAGCACTGCAACACTTGGGCAAATAAAGGGTTTTGACATGAGGAAAGGCCATTTAAATGCCAACTTCTGTACTGAATTGTTAATGCCCACTAGAGCAAATCAATGGAATCAATGGGCACTTTGTAAATCAAAATGCCTGTAAACTCCCATTGATTTCCTGGGGCTGCTTAGTTTGATTTAGGTCCAAGTCTTTTTAGCACACGGGTGGACAAAGTGTGGTCCTTGTGCTGTATGTGGCCCCTGAGGCCCCCATGCATGCCCCCAAGTGCAGCCCCTGAAGCCCCAGACTAAAATTTGGAAAGAAAAAAAAGCAAAAGCAATTTTCAAGTGATTTTATTTTGCCCAAATATGCCGAAACCACAATGGGTTGCTTCTTTTGCTCTTCCAAAACCCTTGAAAATTTCCCCAAACAAAAAAGAAAGCTAAGAAATGCAGCCAAAATGGTGGCTAGAAGTGGTGTCACACCAGTTTGAGTGCACCAAAAGGTGTATTCTGTGACATACTGGATGACCACAGGATGGAAAATTGGCCCCTGCCTTCTATGCAATTGCCCACCTCTGTTTTAGCACATACCAGCAGCAATTAAATATTCCTTAAGAGTTTGAGTGCCATATGCTTTTGATAAAATAAACAAATATAAAGAATGCAACCCAGACAGGTTCTACATAACGATGCTCCAGAAACATCAGGTTAGTGGCTTTACACCAATCCATGCAAAATAAAACCAGACTCTCAAATAAGGAAACAATAGAATTTAGAAAGCTAGAGGTGCCTGCGTAACTCAGATGTCCAACCAGATAATGAACCAGCACAGATGGGCATGAGAGTCTCATCCTGTGATGCTGTCTATTTTCTGATGGGGAGGAGAGAATGTGGGTAAGGTTGCATTTTCCCTGAGGACCCAACTATCCTCTGTAAGAGAGGCCAGCAAGCAACATTACAACCTTTTGCTTGGGTCGGGGTGAGGCTACCCCAATGGGTCTAGGGCCTATTTCCCATTTCTGGGACCTTTCACAGGCTACATAGACTGCTGGAAGTGTTCCTATAATGGGCAAATATATGAAGGGGCTTTATGCAAAAGAAGAAGAAGGTTTGTTTTCTTATCCAGGAAAGACTAGAAAGAGAACCTGTGGTTTCATACTACAAGAAATGAGACTCCACCTAAACTTTAGGAAGATTTTTGTTCTGTAAGAGCTGTTCAATACTGGAATAGACTGCTTCTGTGAGTCATGGGCTCTCCATCTTTGGAGGTCTTTAAATAGAGGTTGGATGGGCATCTTTCAGGACTGCATGAGTTGTGTATTTCTGCATGGAGGGGGCTGGTCAAGATGACCCTTGTGGTCCCTTCAACCACATGATGTTAAACTCCACAGCCCTACAATCTGTTTAGAAGATAGATTGATGTTCCTGGGTATTTCCAGGAAAGATAAACTTGTCCTTTTTCTTTGGCAAGTTTATCTTGCCAAAAGGCGGGATTCAGGAAATCTCCAGGACATACACAACAACTTTGTCGTGACTGTTCTGTGCTCACTTCTAACTGAGACAAATTGTTTTAATGTTATCCTGCCTCCCACCTTTGCACAGAACATGCAGCTATACTGTTACAGAGGGCGTTCTTGGTCGGCATGTACGGACAGGTAGATAC